CTGAGTGCTGCAGGAAGCAGTGACAGCAGGGTGCCGGTTTAGGGAAAGGGGAGCCCAGGGTGGCGCAGGTTCTGTCCAGTAGGGGGCACTCCAGGGCAGCCCACCCTCCGGCTGAGAAGGGAATAGACAGATGTCCAGGAAAGCCAAAGCCCAGTCCCTCCTCTGACCGTCATCGCCATCCTCCTCAGACATGATGGCCACGCACTGCTCCCACACTGTGCGCACGTCGGCGCGGTAGCGCTCGCAGGACCAGATGAAGGAGGGCAGCAGCAGCGTCTGTGCCATGGAGCACCACAGCACAGCCAGCACCATCCAGGGGGGCGCCGAGTCCGACTTGAGGGAGAAGAAGCTCACCACCTGGGGAAGGGTGGGAACGGGCTGGGTCAGGGCCAGAGCCGAGGAGCCTACCTGACCCCCATATCCTAGTGCGGCTGGTGAGAAAGACGCCGGAAGTGATGCCTGATCCCTGTGATCCAACAGAGGTGAAGCTGGAGGTGGAGATGGAGTGAACAGAGGGAAGGGCTGACTCAGAGGAAGGTCGGGGAGAGTGCTGGAGACACAGCCTTGTGGTCAGGAGGGAGAGGAACAGAGGTGGAAGCATGGAGACAGGGAGGAACCCAGGAACAGGGACTTGATGGGCTGGTGGGGTGAGCCCTATGGGGTTTCCCCCCAGGAGTGCTCAGTGACCATGTGGCATCCAGGGGATGGAGAATGGAACGTGGAGCCCAGCAGCTGGATGAGAGGTCTGCGGCTGAACCTTGGGGCTGCAGGATGGATGACGGAGCTGGAGGACAGGTAGCGAAACTGAAGGACGATGATGGAGCTGAGGAGTGGGAGCTGAAGCAGGTGCTGGAGCTGCAGGAGACAGGGTAGTGGGAACTGGAAGACAGATGATAAAGATGGGGGCCACAGATGGAGTGCCGGATGGACAGAGGAGAGGAAGATGGATGATGGAACTGGAGGAGAGATGACGGAGCTGCTGTATGGCTGATGAAGTTGGAGGTCAGGTGATGATGCTAGGGCCTGGATATTGGGGAGAACAGGTGGGGAGGACCCCGATCTCACCAAGATGGGCACCCCTGTGAGTGAGTCATAGAGAAAGACGATGGCGCTGACCAAGTTGGTGACCTGCAGGGACGTCTTGGCAGACTCTGAGCCATCCAGCGAGGACCGCCGCTTCCCTCGGGCATCCTCCACCACAATGGCTGGCACCTCAAAAGCTGGCCGGGTACCCAAGCCCCCTGGCCCACCCGCTTTGGCACCCCCACCACCCCCCACTCTCCGGGCCTGCCGAGCCCTCCTGGGCCGGGCCCACAGTGTCTGGTAGAAGGTGATGGCCACGCAGACCAGCCCCATGACAATGCCCCCAAGTAGCAACAGGCTGAAGCAGACGCCAAAGCCGAGGCCGATCTTGGAGACAATGAACTGGCAGCCGCGGGCATAGTAGCGCTCGCCGTTGTTGTGCCAGCCAATGGAGGGCAGCGTGGAGAGGATGAAGCTGACCATCCAGATGCCCATGACGGCGTGCAGCGCCTGCTTCTTGGCGTTGCTGAGGCGGTAGTTGACAGGCCAGCGCACCATCCACATGCGATGGTAGGAGAGCGAGGCGACCGTGAAGCAGGTGGCCAGGGCCAGGGTGTAGTAGGTGGACACGAAGACCTTGCAGATGCTCTCGTTCCAGTCATAGTCGGAGGAAGCCTGACGCCGTAGCTGCACCACCGCGAAGGTGGTAAGGGGCACAGCTGCCATGAGTATGTGTGTGCCCGCTAGGAAGCAGAGCAGCAGCTCCAGTGGCTTGTGCTTCTGCTGCTTGGCCGAGATGCTGAGGATGATCCAGGCGTTGGCCAGCAGTGCCAGGAGCCCGCAGGCCAGCCAGGACAGTGCGTTGGAGCGCAGGGAGGCCTCCTCTGCCCCCACCCCGCCCCGAGCCATCCTATCCTCAGCCCCCCACCCCCTTGAGCTCCGTGGGGGTGGGGGCTAGGTCTCACCCAGGAGCCCCACTCACAAACACGCCCATGGTGCCCACAATCCTTGCCCTGTTGGCAGGCAGGCCACCCCCAGGCCCACCCCAGTGCTCAGCATTGCATGATCGACCCAGCCGAGGGCAGATGTGGAGGGCAAGGGAGGAGATTGAGGGTCAGCAGAGGCAGTCCTCAGCTTTCATACTGGGCGGGGCCTTCCTTAAGCATCCCTGCAATTGATAGGCAAGCTGGCTACTTTCCCAACTATGAGGCTGGCTGGGGGGTTCTGGTCCCCATGCTGGGACTTCCAGGTCTCTTTTTCCTCTGGTTCTTGACCAGTCAGGAATCTTCTGGATGCCCCAGGGATTTGGGGGTGGGGCTCAGCCCCCTGGACAGGCTGCAAGGGAAAGATGAGATGTGGGAGGGAGAGGGCAAAGGTAGGGCCTAGGCTGTTCTCCAGCCTCCTGTGCCCACGTTCTTGAAACTATAGGCAGGACTGATTACTAGGGCCCCGGGGGTCATTCAGAACATTCCTTTGCCTTAAATCAGACAGCCAAACACCTAGCACAGATGAGAGCCCCACTCTTCCATACCTCGAGGGAAGAGGGTATTCCCACCTCCCTGTCTCCTGTAGCCATTTCTCCTCCACCCTGGAACTCCCAGATTCCTTCTTCAAACATCCCCTGCTCAGCACTACTCCACCCCTATCTTCCTGTCCCTAAATGTCTCTTCAGAGCTACTGATGGGAGACACATGACTGGTTTCCCCTTAAGGGTTCACGTAAACTGGGATGTGACATCACAGCCTTTCTCCCCAACCTGCTGGTGTGCTGGATGCGGGGGTCTTGGTGCTTAGCCCCTACTTCCCCAAGCCTGACTGATCACCCTCCAGCTACCCAGATCTGGGAAAATGGGAATAAGGAGTCTGGGACTGAAGGGGGTGCTAGGGAACCTGCAGGCGGGGAAACCGCTGACATCAGAAGCATCCAGAAATGGAAAGAGGGGGAACTAGGGAGAAGGAGGAGAGTTTGAGCAGAAGAGAAAGAGGGGGCAAAGTGGTAGTATCTGAAAATAGCAGGAAAAGCTCAAACCCCCTGGAGAGGAGGCTTTGGAGGAGGGAGGGAGGGAGCAGGGCTAGGGGGCTGAGAAGAACAGCCAAATGTTCAGTAAGGTGCCGACTCCGACGGGGAGACGGCCTCTTTCCTCCCTGGCCCAGAGCCTCAGTTTCCCTCTGATGGGAGGAAGGATGGTCCCAGTTTTAGTGGGTGATGCTGAGCTTCAGTGAGCCCTGGGAAGGGGGTAGGAGGGAATCAGGTGAAACCCTGAACAGAGAGGGGCTGTAAGGAAGGGTGTAATGGCTTTAGGCTAAGTGGGGTGAAAATGGGGCACAGCAGTGAAAGGGTCTGTTTCCCGTGGAAACAGCTCAGACCCTTGCCTTCTCCAAGAAGTCCTGCCACCCCCACCCTTGGCTTCCCTCCGGAGCCCAGTACACCCTAGTTGCCATGGTAATGGCCAGCCAGAGGGAGGTGGAGGGACTTGGCCAAGAGCAGCCCCCAGTGTCCTCTACTCCAGCCTCGGACCCCTTCCCACCCACCTCCACCCAGGCACAGCTGGTGGGTTCAGGAAGAAAGAGATAGGGAGTCAGAGAGGGAAGGAGGCAGGAAGGATGTGAAGGACAGAGAGAGGGAGGTGAAGGACAGGGAGAGAGCAGAGGAAGGTAGGAGGGGGATCTGGGATGTTCCCTGGCCAGCGGGGTCTCTCGCCCTTTGGGGTAAAGGGGTAAGGTCAGGTGGCTCCTCCCTCCGGTCCCCCTCCAGGCTCTCCAGGGCAGAAACAGCAGGTGGCTGGGGAGGAGGGGCTGGTCAAGGGGAGAGGAGGCAGCTGGGGGGTGGAAAGGGGAGGCGACGAAGGGACGGGTCAGGGGTCGTCTTACCTCGGGCTGCACCCAGCACTGCCTTGAAGACTGCACTCCCGACGCGGCTCTCTCCGGCTCCCGCTGCCTGCCGGCTCCAGCTCGCCCGCCCTCCTCCCTCCTTCCCTTTCTCCCTCCCTCCCCCCCGGGCCTCCCTCCTCCCCCCTCAGTCTCGGCCTCCCTGGCTCAGCCCGAGGCTCGCTCAGTCTCTGCCCTCTCAGTCTCCAGGACCCTCTCTCCTGGGGTCATCCTGCCAGTGAGCGCAGGCTGGCGGGACTGCAGGACGGCTTTGCGGGGGGAACGCGTGCAGGGTGGGGAACTGGACGGTGGCGACTAGGGGAGGAGGGGCGAGGAAGGCGCCGAGAGGGAGAGGGTGCGGAGGAGGGCTGGGAACCGGCTTCATTGGTGAAATGGTTCACGTCCTGCCCCCACCCTTCCCCGTTTTCAACACGAACACAAGCTCCTAGAGGCAGCCGGTGTTGTTGGGGACTGAGGAGCTGGCTGTTCGGGGAGGAGGAAGCGTGTGTCGCCGTGTGCATCTGTGCGAGGCTGGGCCTTGGGTTTGGGAGCGAGGGGCTCACAGTGCACGCTGAGGCTGCTTGTGGAGTTGGGGGTGGGTGTGCACGAGCTGAAAGGATGTGGGCACACGCGCGCACACACACACACACACTCTGCTTCCTCCTCCTGGAACACAAACACACATGTTGGGGATGCAATTTGCACACACGTTACAGCTCCTCATAGCCCTTTCTCTGCCACACACACATACACCAGGAGCGCTCACACCACCCTGAGTCTCTCCCCCACGGCATATCACACACATGTAATTACAGACTCTCAGCCTCACACACGCACAGGCCCACGTAGAGCCCTTTGGGGTGTGGAGGTGGGCAGCCAGCCTCCACAGAATGTTTCCCTCTCCAGGGAAACTTCATCTCCTTCCTGGGACACACACTGCAGGCAACTCTCCTCTGGGTCTGACCCCAAAGATCAAAAGATTCCTGATCCCCAGAGAAGGGCCCTCTCCCTCTCTCTCCCTCTCTCCCTCTCTCTCTCTCTCTCTCTCTCTCTCTCTCTCACACACACACACACACACACACACACACACACACACACACGAAGAGCATCTTCTTTATAGTAAGTTTATTGTATTTTTCTTTCAGCTCAGGGGAGCAGGGGTGGAGAGTGGGTACAAATGCAGAGTAAGCAAATTGGGAGCCCCAGCAGCAACAGGGTGGTCTTCCTGGAAGAGGCAGGCTTTAAAGATAGGAGGAGAAGGAAAGAGGGAAAAGGAGTTGGGACTGAGGGAAGTGGTGAGGAAGGGTAGGAAGAGAGGGGATCCTGAGCGAAATGGATCAAGAAGAGGAAGAAGATTTGTAACCCTGATTTCCCTGTGTCCTGATGGTCTTGGAGGAGGGTAAAGAGGGGCGTGGGGCAGGCACAGAGGCTGGCACAATCACCTTTGTGGTCCCTCAGAGGGTTCTCTCTCAGGCTAGCCATCCCGTCTCCCAGCAAAGCTCACTTCCAGAAGGTTCTGCACAGGGTGAGTGGCTGGTCACTGGGCATTCTCTCCCACAGGGCCTGTGCTCCCAGCCTCCACTCTGATTAGGAGAGCCAAAGTCTTTGTCCTCTGGTAACAGGACTCTGCCACCAGAAGGTGATGAAGGAGAGATTTTAGACAGGGAGGCTTCATCCATGCTCATAAACTCTCTGAGATGGGCCTTCCCATGGGTGCTGTGCTCCTGTGAACCCAAAAGCACTCACTGAGTACCCACCACTAGCCACTGCTGAGAGTCATGTAACATTTATCCCTGCATTCAAGAGGCAGCAGTGGAACTTGGGACAAGGGGCCTGGGTTAGTCCCAACTCCAGCGTTTGTATGATCTTGGGTAATCAATCGTCTAGCCTCTCCAAGTTCTGGTTCTGGTCTATAAACGAGATGATGGTTTTCATTCTGTTACTGCCAGCCTTGTAGGGTTTTTTAAGTCTCAAATAGACAGAGGATGTGAAACATCTCTTGTGGCTGTGTACATGGGGATATGTCCAGAGAGGCTGTTTGTGCAAGGTCAGGACGTGAGTCTGTGGCCCTGCCCACACAGGGTGAGAGGCGGGTGGCGTGGGGCAGGAGGTGCTGGCTGTCAGAAACCTTTGGATCTGCATCCGACCTTGACTGGCTTGGCTGTGTGAGTCTGTGCAAGTTCCTGCCCTCTGTGGTCCCAGGGTCCTGTCCTGTAAAACAACAGTCCCGAGTTCCATGCTTCCAGACACCCAGCCTCACCCTCCATGCCAGGCAGGGCTGGCCCGGGACACTCCCCTGGGACCCAAATGAGCAGTGGGGAGAGGGTCAGAGAGAAATAATGAGAGAAGAGCTAGGGCTTGAAGGGAAAGAAAATGGGGGAAGAATGGTGTGATTAAGCCTCTGGAAAATTGAGAGCAACACTCAACCGATAAAGCTGGGGCCTAACCCAGGGGTTGGGAACAGACGAGGAGAAACAATGAGAAATTGTGGAGGAGAACAGGAGGCCAGAGGCCTGGGATCTGCTACATTCATCTGGTCCACAGGCCATGAGCCCAATGGGAAACGTGGGGCACACCCCTGGGGAGGCTGCGAGTGGGATCTCCCGGGCCTCATGCCTCAAATGGGGCTACATGTCTTCTGAAACCGGCTGCAGGAACAAAGAAGGGGAGGAGGTCTGTCCCTGATGCAACCCCTTTGTGTTCTAACACTTCCATGACTTTTCTTTTCCAACACAGTGCTAGCCTCTGGACCACAGCTGCAGAACGAGTCCAGAAAGGCCCTGGCCTGCTGCTCCTTCAGCTGCCCTCCCACTCCTGCCTCCTTCCTAGCTCCTGGCCATCTTTTCCTGCCCCTCCATCCTCTCCACCATACCCCTTCAGCCACCATCAGCTCGCCTCCACACCCCCACCTCTCCCTCCTGCACTCCTTCCTCCTCTCCATCCTCCCCTCCTGCCCCGTTTGTTCCCGTTCCTCACCCTCCCCTCCCCCCCTCCCCCCTCCCCCCCCCCCCCCCCCTTTCCCCTTCCCTCCCCCCTTCCCCTTCCCCCCTCCCCTCCCCCAACCCCTCCTCCCAGACCCTTACTGGGGGCACTGGCAGGTCTTCTTCTCACTGAGGAGTCTCTTGATCTGAGACATCCGCTCTGCTTGGCGCTGTCCAGGGACAAGGAAGGGAGTCATGAGGGTCCCCAGCCTCCAGAAGGGAGGTGCCCTTTGGTGGGGGTGTAGGGGAAGCTGGGAGAGGAGAAGCAGTTACCTGGCTCAGGCTATCTGTCCTGGAATTAACTCTCTGCTCCTTCCTGTCTCTCCCTAGAGAGGGATCTGGGACAGCAGCAAGGGAGCTTAAGGGGTGGGCAGAGGGAGCCAGGCAAGGATCTCCTGGTACAGGACTCAGGGGCTTGAGGGTTGAGGGCCCTGTGGGGACCGGGTGTGGGGTCACTCACCCTTCGAAGCCGGCACCTGACACAGAGGAAGATGCCTAGCCCAGTAAAAACCAGGAGGCCTGCGACACCCCCCAGCACAATCAGGGCCATTGGCTGCACCGGGGGAGACCATGTGGGCAGAACTGCAGAAAGAGAAATGTGCTCAATGCACCACCTTTCTCCGGGGAGCAGGAGGCTGCCCCCCAACCCCTCCTCACCGGTTTTGGGTTTGATCCTGGGGTTGGAAGAGAGGGGTGGGGTGCCTGGAGGCTCTCAAAAGCTGCCAGGGCAGGGGCAGCGGTTTTATGTTTTAGAGACCATGGGTCACTCTGGAGATGAAGAAACAGTGTCCTAGACCCTGGTGTGTGTGTGTGTGTGTGTGTGAGTAAGTGTGAATGTGTGAGTGCATGTGTCTATGATTATGTGTGTCTGAGAGTGTGTGAGTGTGCGTGACAGTGTGTGGGTAGGAGTATGTGTGTAAATGTGTGAGTGTGAGTATATGTGTGTGAGTGTGTGTGTGAGTGCATGTGAGTGTGAGAATGCACGTGTGTGTGAGTGCATGTGAGTACATGGATGTGAGTGTGTGTGTGGGTGTGTGTAGTATGTGTATGCATGTGTCCGTGTGTGAGTGCATGTGTGTGTGATGTGTGTGTATGACTCTGTGTGTGTGTGTGAGTGTGAGAGTGCATGTGTGTGAGAACGCATATGTGAATGTGTGAGAGAGAGAGAGAGAGAGAGTGTGTGTGTGTGTGTGTGTGTGTGAGTGTGTGTGTCTGGATTTGGAGAAAAGCCAGGAGCCAGGGAGGGGGCTCTTGGTCAGGTGGGCCCCATTCCTCAGCTGTAGATCTGAGAGAGTGGGAACTTGCAGAACTGCAGTTGGCAGCCTAGAGCCCAGGACCACACCCACCACACCCCATCACTTCTATGCCACCAGGACACCATACCCATAACCCCCAACTCAGGCATTGGGAGGCTGGAACTCTGGGATGGTCTCTGCCAACCACAGGAAGGTCCCACAGGGCAGGAGGCAGAGACCATGGAACCTGGGTCCTTACCCTCGACCTTGGATTCCAGCAGGACCTGTCCTGAGTCACTCAGCAGACACTGCCACGCCCCCACCTCAGGGTTCAGCACCCACACCGCCTTCTCCCGCTTGGAGACCTTTGCCTCCTGGTTCTCCAGTTTCAAGCTCAGCAACAGCTTAGGGGAGGTGGGTCCCCACACCTCACAGGTCAAATTGTTCTGGAGCTGAGTCGCTGCAGAGGAAGCAGAGGCTGAGATTGCAAGCCTGGGTCTCTGAGTTCCCAGCACCTTCAAGCTCTAAGGAGATTCAGTAGAACAATTAAAATGATACTTTACATGGGCGGCCTTCTTTTAGCCTTTTAGAGCAGGTTTTCAGGCAGTCGTATGAGGAAAAACAGCGTTTGGGGTCCAGTGGTATTGGATTTGAATCCCAGCTCCACTGCTTAGCAGCTGTGTGTCTCTGGACAAGTGACTTAACCTGTGCCCGCCAGTAGTTAAAGGCTTGCGTACATGTAAAGTGTTTGGATGGGGCCTAGCACGTGCTAAGCGACAAGGCTTAGCCATTATTATCTGTGGGAGTTGTGACGATGATACGGAGATGAGGAAGCCAGAAACTCAGTCTGGGGCTTGACATTCTCATCATTACTGTCGTACAGAGAACAGATTTCATTATCCTTACGAGACAGGTCAGGAAGCAGGCCGGAAGTAGGAGGGGGCTTAGCCAGGGTCACAAAGGGTTGGTCACAGGCAGAACTGAAACCCTGGTTCTTAGCCCAAGTGCTTTGGGGATCTTCAGTGAAGCCAGCCCCAAGCTGGCTCATGGAGGTGGCAGTTCAAAACCAGCCCCAAACCCAGAGGGCCCTCCCTCCCTTCATCCAGGTGGCCAGGGCCTAGGCATCCCCTCCTGGGGCCTGGCCTGCCTCAAAGGAGCCCTGGGCCAGGCCCCTCCACGTCCTTCCCTTACCCTCCCCTCCCTGGCCTGGCCCCTCACCTCTCATCACCACGAGGTTCACTTCCTGATGCAACTTTCCCGTTTTCCCTTTAAGAGCCAGGGTGAGGTTTCCAGAACCAGCATACTGAGGCAAGGCCTGGAGCAGGGTGAGGTGAAGCGGAAGCTTCTTGCCCATCCTGAGCTTGGGGTCCTGGGTAACCAATTTTACAAACACCTCCTTGTTCGTCAGGTTGAAGGTGATCCAGGACTTGGAGGAGGAAGCCCTCTCCGCCTGCCAGCGCAGCTCGCCACTGCCCGTCAGCGTTTCAGCTGCAAAGGCGAGTGGGAAGGAGAACTCCACCTGCTCCCCCTCTTTCTTATACACTGTGCTGGAGGCCTGCTGGAAAGCTGGGGGTGGGAAGGGAGAGACCCTGGGTGAGGAGTCAGGAAGATGAGGGCGCACAGGTGCAGCCGGCATGCGGGGGCGGCAGAGCGATGGAGAAGGACCAGGTGGCCCAGACACCCACCTCATCATTTCAGACACTTCCGTTCCCTCCTGCCTCTCCAGCCTTCTCGCCCCTCTTCCACCCAGTATTTTCCTACAGCAGACCACCTCCTTCCTCCCTGAAGCCATCACAGAACAGCTCAGCCATAGGGGATCCTCGCTGTCTTTAGGATTCCTGGACACAGAGGCCACTTGGCCTCCACTCCTTAGGGGCATAATTCACCACGCTTCACAACCTGAGAGGGAACACTTAACTCGGGCTTACTCTGTGCCGGGCACCGTTTTCAGTGTCTTGTGTCTATCAGTCCTCACCTTAATACAACAAGGTAGCCACTATGCCACTTAACATTATCCTCATTTCACAGAAGCTGAAACCAAGGCACAGAGAGGTTCAGTAACTCACCCAAGGTCACATGGTGGTGGCAGAACCAGGATTTCAATCAGGGTCCATGCACTAAATTGGCACACTACACTACCTTATGTCACATAAGCACCCAGGGGGACAGGATCTGGGGTAGGACATTTGTCTCCTCACAGTGCCTGGCTCAGGGGTTCAGAGGTACAACATAGAGCCTCATCAGGGCTGGCTTGCTGGTGTTAGTGCCCCTGAGTAAATGGATTTGCCAACTTGGTAGGGGTGGGGAGCTGAGGCGACAAAGAAAGTAAGCGCGCTGACACTCCACTTTTGGGGCCTCCAGGAGCCTCTGGGGCCTCTCCCATCCTCACCTTCCCCGGCCCTTCCTTTCTCCATGTCCACCACACTGAGGGGTGCCTGTCAATCCACCCCTGGGGACGAGGGCCCCAGTGAGTCCCTTAAGACAGACCTCAGCTCTAGGGGACCTAGCCTTTGCCACTCTGACCTCCCAGCACCAGACCCAGAAGCAGAAGGAGGGCCTGTCAGCCCCTGGGGCAGGGAGGAGACTGCGGGGAGAGGGGCTTCCCTTACCCAGTACCACGATGTTGATTTCGAATACCAGCTCCAGGTGCTGGGAGACCGTGCATTTCCAGGTGCCGCTGTCCTGGATCTCCAGCTGAGACAAGGAAAGGGTCTTCATCCCCTGTATCCTTTTACCCCGTGGACTCGTGCACTCCACTGAGGGGCTACTACCAGGGGGGCTCTCCAAGGTCAGGGTCAGGCTCTGTCCCTGAAGCAGGTGGGTGTCAGGGTTGGCAGTCACTGTGGAGGGAACAGGCCAGCTGTGTCACACACATCCCCAAGGAGAAGGGCAGAGGACGGGAGACCAAGATCACCTCTCCATTACCCCCATCCCGACATCACCTTCCTCCCAGCACCCCACTGCCCCCCCTAGCCAAGATAGGGCTTCCCTCTCCCCTCCTCTCTGTCTTCTTTCCTTCCCTCCTCTCATCCTCTCTTCCCCAGTCTCTCTCCTTCCTTCCCTTGTTTCCTTCCCTTGCCTTTTCTTTTCCCAAGGCCTCTTCCCTCCTCCGCCCCACCACCATCCCCCACCTGATCAAGGAGGGTTCGAAGAGATTTGGAGGCCAGGTTGGCAGCCTGGTCCTCTTGGGCCTGCTGCGGTATCACCAGCTCAGGCTGGATTTGGTGCAGGAGCAGGAGCAGTGGGGAAGGGAGCCAGGCGGGAGGTATCTTCAGCCCCACCTGCCCCACTCACATCCGAACACCTGCAATTCCACCTCCTCCTTCTTGCCCTCCACTTCACAGATGTAAGTCTCTGAGTCTTCTACCCGAACATTCTTGATGAGCAGGGGAAAGGATCCTCGGTCCCAAGAGCTTTTCTTTGAGTCAATGCGATCAGCCAGCTTGGATTGACCTGGGAGTAGAAGACAAACGGGGGAGGCTGAGGCTCTTCTGATCTCAGATGCTAATTTCCTGCAACGTCTGCGCCTCATTCTAATTGAGAACTCTAGTCTGGCAAGGAGGTCCCATCATATCCATTTACCTGGCTGGGACAGTAGCTCCCAGATACAAATAAAACCATATCCTTTTTTTTTGAGACGGAGTTTCGCTCTTGTTACCCAGGCTGGAGTGCAATGGCACGATCTCGGCTCACCGCAACCTCCGCCTCCCGGGTTCAGGCAATTCTCCTGCCTCAGCCTCCTGAGTTGCTGGGATTACAGGCACACGCCACCATGCCCAGCTAATTTTTTTGTATTTTTAGTAGAGACGGGGTTTCACCATGTTGACCGGGATGGTCTCGATCTCTTGACCTCGTGATCCACCCGCCTCGGCCTCCCACAGTGCTGGGATTACAGGCTTGAGCCACCGCGCCCGGCCAAACCATATCCTTATTTGGAGAGCACTAACTCCTACAAGCCAAACATTTTACAGGCGTCATCTCAGTAATCTCCACAATAAATTTTAAGAAATAGATACTGTCAACACTGTTTTGCTTATTTTGCAGATGGGGAAACAGACTCAGAGAGATTAGGTAATTGCCCAAATTCTCACACACTGAGATTAAGTAATTGCCCAACTCTCACACATTGGAGGAGAATAAACCAGCACAATTTCTTTGGAGGGTAATTTGTAACACATATCAGAATTACAAATGCATATACAAAACCAAATGTCCACCAATAAAGAATAGATTAAATAAACTGGGCGCAGTGGCTCACACCTGTAATTCCAGCACTTTGGGAGGCTGAGGCGGGTGGATCACCTGAGGTCAGGAGTTCAAGACTAGCCTGGCCAACATGGTGAAACCCCATCTCTACTAAAAATACAAAAATTAGCTGGGAGTGGTGGCTTGAACCCAGAAGGGAGAGGTTGCAGTGAGCTGAGATCTCGCACTGCACTGCAGCCTGGGCCACAGAGCGAGACTCCATCTAAAAAAATAAAAATAAAAGAATAGGTTAAATAGATCATAGCTCACCCATTCAGTAAATTGCTGTGTAGCCATAAGAGAAGAATTAGGAAGCGCTTTGTATACTGATTTGGAACCGTATTTAAGAAATATCATTAATTGAATAAAGCAAGATATTAAACAATTTACTATTTGTTTTTAAAGGAGGGGAAATATGTACCTTGTATATGAAAAGAATATTTCTCGAATTAAACATAAGAAAATGAGGCCATTAAGGCCAGATGCAGTGGCTCATGCCTGTAATCCTAGTACTTAGGGAGGCCGAGGTGAGCGGATCTCAAGGTCAGGTGTTCAAGACCAGCCTGGCCATCATGGTGAAACCCCCATCTCTACTAAAAAAA